ATTACATGATATATAATATTATATTTGATTTTTGTTTTATTTTATATTTATATATTGCTAAATTCCCATCTTTTGATATTTTTTGTATTTAAATTTATATATTCTATTTTAGAACACCGTTGTTCTAATTTTTTACATTTAACCTGAGGATGGCCTATTGAATAGGCTGAAAACGTTACTTTAGTTTTAAATAAATTATCTCAGCAACTTATCGTGTATTTTGGTAGTCTATTAATTATTTGCTGAGTAAGTTTTGTTAATAGCTTTAGATAATGATTCCACAGATATTTGAAAGAGGTTTGTATATCACAGTCTTCATTTGTGATAAATTGTTAATTTTGTAGATACGTATTGGAGAAACTTACGTATAAAACACATATTGCACTTGCACATTTTCTCATTACAGAAAATTGGTTACTTCTTAATTAAGTATGTTTGAAATATCTTTTCTTTTCAGTCGTTTAGCACGTTAACCGATGGCGAATTTCTGGCTCATGAGGGCTTCAAAATAAAAAAAATTATTTAATTATCATTTTTCATAATAAAAATAACTAATAATTTAGCAATATTCCATAAATTAAATTGAGAAATGAATAACACCAGCTATGACATGTTTTGTGGATGGCAACACAAGCGGTCATATTTCGAACCATATGCACTAACTGTTCAGAAGACAACGGTGCAAGGCCGTGTTCAGTAAGGTAGAAACACCTAAGTTAGAATTCTGAGTGACTTAGTGGGCGGAGCTAAGAATGTTCTGAGTATCATTCTTAGACAATTGGACAAAATGGCGGACGAAGTTAAAATTATGACCGCAACGATTGTCGCAAACGAACTGGTCGAAAAGGATGAAGTAACCAATACAATTATTCAAATGGAAGTTGCGTCAGATCGTGATGAAATTAATGAAGCAATCATTAATTGTAATCAACGAAATGGACCGTTATTTTCCGTTAAAGTGTATTCGGAATCTGTTATACTCATGTATGATAATTTTACATTTAGAAGTCATTTTAGAATGAAAGAATAACTTTGTGATTGTTATAATAAAATATGTTTAGTCCAACAGGAGCAGCCATCTTGCAAATCGTATCACAAGACAAAAACAACGACACTACTAGAAGTTAGCATAGATAAAAGAAGCTGACTGAACTCAAGGTCCTAGAATATATTCTAGGTCCTTGGTCTGAACTAGCTAGAATTCTAGCGGTGGGAAGAGTCCAGCAGTAGTCAGGAACGAGTTCACCATTGCATCATGTTTGATGGAATAAAACTTTTAACAGAATAAAGCGTCCCAATAGTCATACTGATACTGTTTGACAGAAAATAACGGTGTAACTCAATTTTGTGTTTGGTGTTTTAATTAGTGTAGAAGTATAGTACCGGTACATTTGTTTTGCTATTAAGTATGTATATGTAAAAACTTAATAACATTAGAATAACGTTAGAAAAACATTTATGTAGTCAATCTGTAAGTTCCTCAAGAGTAATATTTAAACTCCGTGTATAAATATATAGTTACCAGTACCACAGATCAAGGAACCTCACTTTTTTGAACCACCTGTATAGTATCTACCAGAGTAAAAATCGTGCGCGTAGAATTTACACTGTAGCATGTAGGGATAGTGAAAATATTTAGAGGGCCTCGAAATTCAATTGCGCCTGGGTCATCTCAAATGCTAAATCTGCCAGCGCGTTAACCCACTTATAAATTAAAATAACTTATTAGTTTATTGTTCATAAATAAGTTATGAATATGATTAAAATTTCTGTTTAATTAATGAAAAAATAAACTTTATTTTTTTAAAAAGTGTTTAAAAATATTTACTTAATAACACGCAATAGGTTAAAATTAAACTTACCAAAGTTGTAAAACGAGACAGTTGAAAAGAAAGAATAATAGTTCCGACAAGCATAGTTATCAAAATAATAAACGCAAACAAACGCATTACATCATCAAGTCCAAAGAAAAGAAATGCGCAGAAGAAAAAACTTGACTGATATATTGCGCAACAATATACAGCAGGAGTGTATATTTCGCAAACTAACTTTATTTCTTGTAGATAAGTCCATAAATTCCAATGAGTTTCAATCAAGGTTTCGATTTTATTCTTCAGAAAACTTTCGTCTTTTTTCAATTCATCGATTGCATCAGATAAATTCTTGAATCTCTTTGACACCACGACGGCCCATGCACCTATAACAAGAACACAACAATCTAATTGTCCAATTCCGTAAATGCACATTAATGTGATATTCAGATTACAGAATGCCAGTTCAAACTCAGAATTAGTTATCTCCTTTAAGGTAGGATACAGAAATAAGTCAATTGCAATAACAAATGGAAATATTGTAAAAAAGAAAAGTGTAAGTACAGCTATAAAAATTATTTGAATATCATCAGCTATTTTTTCTTCTTCTTCGTATCCGCTGTTGTTTCTAGGAATGTAAAGTCTCTTCCTTTTAAAAAAACTGAATTGAAAAGCTAGAAAAATACCAAATGTAGCTAAAATAAATTTTAAGAGAATTTTATTATTAGGGAACATTCGGATCCATCCGACACAAACCAAATTGTCTGTTACTTCTTGAATACAAAGTATTATGTTAGTCCACATAAATATCTCTATAGCTGTTTGGTACAAAGGATATAACTTTGACAGATATTTCCATGTTTTGACAGGCTTCTTACAATCGCAATACATTATTTTAATTCCAAATATTTCTAACGACGAGAGGACTGGTCGTAGAAAGCAAACAATGCACAAACATCGTTTCGTGTCGGTTGAATACATGTTTTATCCACCGAATGACCTAATGTAAATGCGAAACATGTTAGATCAGGATGTAATTTCTATTCCACGATTATAATGATACATGTTTCGTTACGTAAAGTAAATTCAGCTTCTCTTATAAAAGAAGAGATTTTTGAATATGACGCAAACGATCGATTTGAGTTGTGTATTGTCATCACGTGATGTAAGTGCATTGGTGGCCTTCACTAGTAAATATTTTATGTTACTGCATTAAAGAATCTTATTTCGTGTCTAAGATATTAAGATTGTAAAAATAATAATAATAATTGTCTCATTTAGTATTTTGCGTTTAAAAAGTTTATACGGTTNCAACTGCTCACTAACCATGGAAAGTTTGCAAGGTACTTATGCAGATTTACGAATAGGAAATTTCGCCTATGCCCTGCGTGTCAAGTTGAATATGGTGCTCTACATTACATTTACGATTGTGTAGCCCTGGAACAAAAAGACTGGAACTTATTCTCCAGGAACGAAATATTTCTGGCCTTGTGTTCCTTCTGACTATTTAAAGAGCGAAGATGACTATCAAGCATTCAATAGACTAGCAAAAAGATTCTATTGTTTTTCACGTATCACCATATACAATTGCTCTTTCGTGTTACGTCACCCAAACTTCTCCTTACTTTGTTTTCATACTTTATTTAGCCTATATATGTTTGTAATTTCATCCTTAATTTCATTTTATATAAAAATACTTATTCTAATTTGCTTAAAATATGTATAATTATCTATATGAGAATAATCGTCAACATTCCACTTTAAACATTACATTTTGTTTCTGTTTTATTTATGAAAATACTTATTTTAATGTAAATATTATTCATTTGCGTTTATGATTAATTGTAGACGTAATGATTTGTTATTTATATGAAATTGTTTATTGTATCTACGTATTTATACGCATGCTGTTTGAGTATTATTTGAGCAGACATACTCTTCTTCTTAAACCTCATTTTGTTCTTATTATTATTACACCAATTCATGCATTCTCATTCTAATTTGGCTATCTGTATTCTTTATTTCGAAATCTGCTACCCACAAGGACTACAAAGGTATGGCATATATACCTGAAACTGTCATGAAACTGTTTATTCTAATACTTCTTTTTATCTACATATGTTTATAGATTGGTTATCTGTTAGTATGTTAATTGCGTGTACATTTTCTTTATGTACAGTACTGTACTTGTATTCCATACGTATATATCGGTGTGCTGATTCATTATAAGCTTATTATTTAAAGTTATCTATGTATTTAGGTTAGTTGATTTAGGAAATTGTAATATTATATTTAAGCAGTTGACACAATCTAATTATTATACTTCATTTTTCAATTATTGTTATTATGTTAACTTAACACTAAGATAAAAATAACCAGATTTCATAACAGAAGAGATGAATTTTGTGAATTTTGTGTTCTTGGATGAACTTATTATATACAAATATACAGAAATATTATTATTTATAAATATACAGAAGTTTGATTTTTGTAGAGAGTTTTTGTTTACACAACCTTAATGAAATTTGGAAAATAATATAAATACTTTTTGTTTTCTTAAATTGTGACGTTAACATTCATAATGTTAACCCGTGAGTAGTCTAGTATTTCTAACATAAAATAAACAACAAATCAATAATTATTACTGCATCAAAACAAATTAATAAATAATAATAATTACATAAAATAAAAAAAATAAACTTAAATATATTTTATAAATTTACTGACGCATAAATTTATTTAAGAACGGATGTCGTAACTTTCTACGTAATAGTCTAAAGTGAAATATTGAGGTTTCGTAAGGAATATTTTCTTTGACTTTTTTGAGATTTCAATTTTTTTTCATAATTCTACAATCCACTTCCTTCTTTGAACACAAAAATATCTTATTTCCTTGTAATAAGTCTGCTGTTATTCAAACTTTCAAGTCAGCCTATGAGACAATTTAATTCAATAGCTTTATTGAATCAAATCTCTAATCTCAACTTTACAAGAAGGTGGTTTCTTTGCTATTAAAAGTTCCGTCAACACAGACAGCGATGAATATATGGCACTCATAACCTGTAAAACATTTACAAAATTATTATATTACTATTTACTATTTAAAATAGATTTGTAAATTATACACGCAGTTATAAATAATATTTTTACAACTTTAATAAAGTCAAATAGAATATATTGAACGAACTTACTCGAATAAAGAAGTTTTTTTTGACATAAAAGAATCCGCCAATGCTTACTCCAAATGGAGTTTTACCGTATCTTTTCATAAAGTTCAGCATCTTTTAAAGGAAAAAATGTTTAATAATATTAAATTTGTAGACCGATAGAAATGAATTTAAATGTATTTCGATTACCTTCATTTTGGTTTCTAACGGTAAATCAGCAGAACACAATTTATCGATTTCAATGAATTTTCCGTACAACTTGAAAAATTAAAATAATTATCATAAACAAATATTGTGAAATTGGTACATAAACTCTTATAAAATACATTGTAAGTGACAATCAGTTTCAATATTGTATTATATTACACTTATATTAAGAATATGCTTAATATATTCACTAAATTTAAATACAGCATTAACAATATAAGCAATACATTTTATTTTGTTTTACATGATTCTGATATAACACAAATTTCGAAGAAAAACTTTATTTTTGTTCTACGCAATTTGTTTTTATTTCCCACCATCGACCTATTTTTAAAAAACTTCTTTTGTATTCGCAGCTTGCTTCAATTATTCCCAATTAGATTTTGTATTTAATTTCAATTAGAATATAAATTTCTGGGAATGCCCCTTATTATCTTTATCAGTTTCATTATTTTAGCACGTAGATCTGTTCTTCCGAAATTTATTTACAGGAGAATTCGGATATATAAGTTAATATCAGGTAACCAAGTAAATAATGTGGTTTTCTAAAATGTGAATAAAAATGCTTGTATTTTTTGCTTGAAACGATTTTATTCATCAAAATAATTACCTTCATATTCAATTATACTTTCTTTATACGAAAGCAGTTTGAAAATGCCATTTTTAGCATTAACAAGTAAAACGGCGAAGCCATTTTTGGGACGAGATCATGTCTCGAAAAGCGCGAGAAACGCATGTACAAACGCACTCGTGCTTTTTGTAGGAACAGTCTCAATATTTCGTATTTACTTTTGACCCGGTTCTCGGTTCCCTGACTACCTACAAGTCTGGCATTTTATGTGCGCATGATTTGGGCGCCAAATACTCTGTGCCAAATTGCAACTCCTGACATGTACTCCTTCATACCTCTAATCTGTACAGCCGTTGACAACAGCGCGATTTTAGAAAGGAGACATAGTCTCGTCAAAAATTGAGTTTCTTCCTCTTTATAGCTATGTGATTTGTAAATTATTTTCTACGCGTATGATTAACCAAAGATTTTAAAACATGTGGTAATTCGACAGCGATAAGTCAAGATGGCCGGATGGCAGAGCGCTCAAGGTTGCAGCCTACTGCTCTGGGAGGTCCAGGATCGAATCCGGACGTGCCAAGGAATCCCCAGAAATTTTTCGGATGGAGGTGGTCTGTTCGGGTATATCGGATCCCGTTCCTCATCACCGGTTGTTCCACTGTAGGCCTGGTCTAACCTATAATGGGCCCTCTTAGTGCCCACAGTGCGGAAAGAGAAAAAAAAGAAAAAGTGATAAGTCAAGACAATAAGAAGGATTTGTTGACAATTCCCAACCCAATTGCATTGCTTTCTTCTTGTAATTTCTGTCATATTTGATCGAGCGTTCTCTTGTAAAATCAAAACTCTTCAACGATTTGCTAAAGTTTTAACTTTCATTTGGCATATAATGTTTGTACCTGCTCACTGTATTAATCTACTGTGAGAGTTTGAGCAACGTTCAAGTACTAGAGATGAACAATACGCTTCCAAACACACGAAACAGAAAGACCTTTTCGTGAATAAACTTATTTACAGAAATTACCAGTATTTTCATTCACATTTCAAAAATTCGTTATTATTCATTTGGTTATCTGATAGTTGTAATTTGTTCTTTAATTTAAAACTTTATTCCTTTAAAAAATAATTTCAAGGTTAAAAAAGTTTTTTGCGAACTCCTAACTTATACCTTAATTTTACATTATTGACATTCTGTTTATTTACGATATTATTACATGATATATAATATTATATTTGATTTTTGTTTTATTTTATATTTATATATTGCTAAATTCCCATCTTTTGATATTTTTTGTATTTAAATTTATATATTCTATTTTAGAACACCGTTGTTCTAATTTTTTACATTTAACCTGAGGATGGCCTATTGAATAGGCTGAAAACGTTACTTTAGTTTTAAATAAATTATCTCAGCAACTTATCGTGTATTTTGGTAGTCTATTAATTATTTGCTGAGTAAGTTTTGTTAATAGCTTTAGATAATGATTCCACAGATATTTGAAAGAGGTTTGTATATCACAGTCTTCATTTGTGATAAATTGTTAATTTTGTAGATACGTATTGGAGAAACTTACGTATAAAACACATATTGCACTTGCACATTTTCTCATTACAGAAAATTGGTTACTTCTTAATTAAGTATGTTTGAAATATCTTTTCTTTTCAGTCGTTTAGCACGTTAACCGATGGCGAATTTCTGGCTCATGAGGGCTTTCAAATAAAAAAAATTATTTAATTATCATTTTTCATAATAAAAATAACTAATAATTTAGCAATATTCCATAAATTAAATTGAGAAATGAATAACACCAGCTATGACATGTTTTGTGGAAGTCAACACAAGCGGTCATATTTCGAACCATATTCACTAACTGTTCAGAAGACAACGGTGTGCAGGGCCGTGTTCAGTAAGGTAGAAACACCTAAGTTAGAATTCTGAGTGACTTAGTGGGCGGAGCTAAGAATGTTCTGAGTATCATTCTTAGACAATTGGACAAAATGGCGGACGAAGTTAAAATTATGACCGCAACGATTGTCGCAAACGAACTGGTCGAAAAGGATGAAGTAACCAATACAATTATTCAAATGGAAGTTGCGTCAGATCGTGATGAAATTAATGAAGCAATCATTAATTGTAATCAACGAAATGGACCGTTATTTTCCGTTAAAGTGTATTCGGAATCTGTTATACTCATGTATGATAATTTTACATTTAGAAGTCATTTTAGAATGAAAGAATAACTTTGTGATTGTTATAATAAAATATGTTTAGTCCAACAGGAGCAGCCATCTTGCAAATCGTATCACAAGACAAAAACAACGACACTACTAGAAGTTAGCATAGATAAAAGAAGCTGACTGAACTCAAGGTCCTAGAATATATTCTAGGTCCTTGGTCTGAACTAGCTAGAATTCTAGCGGTGGGAAGAGTCCAGCAGTAGTCAGGAACGAGTTCACCATTGCATCATGTTTGATGGAATAAAACTTTTAACAGAATAAAGCGTCCCAATAGTCATACTGATACTTTTTGACAGAAAATAACGGTGTAACTCAATTTTGTGTTTGGTGTTTTAATTAGTGTAGAAGTATAGTACCGGTACATTTGTTTTGCTATTAAGTATGTATATGTAAAAACTTAATAACATTAGAATAACGTTAGAAAAACATTTATGTAGTCAATCTGTAAGTTCCTCAAGAGTAATATTTAAACTCCGTGTATAAATATATAGTTACCAGTACCACAGATCAAGGAACCTCACTTTTTTGAACCACCTGTATAGTATCTACCAGAGTAAAAATCGTGCGCGTAGAATTTACACTGTAGCATGTAGGGATAGTGAAAATATTTAGAGGGCCTCGAAATTCAATTGCGCCTGGGTCATCTCAAATGCTAAATCTGCCAGCGCGTTAACCCACTTATAAATTAAAATAACTTATTAGTTTATTGTTCATAAATAAGTTATGAATATGATTAAAATTTCTGTTTAATTAATGAAAAAATAAACTTTATTTTTTTAAAAAGTGTTTAAAAATATTTACTTAATAACACGCAATAGGTTAAAATTAAACTTACCAAAGTTGTAAAACGAGACAGTTGAAAAGAAAGAATAATAGTTCCGACAAGCATAGTTATCAAAATAATAAACGCAAACAAACGCATTACATCATCAAGTCCAAAGAAAAGAAATGCGCAGAAGAAAAAACTTGACTGATATATTGCGCAACAATATACAGCAGGAGTGTATATTTCGCAAACTAACTTTATTTCTTGTAGATAAGTCCATAAATTCCAATGAGTTTCAATCAAGGTTTCGATTTTATTCTTCAGAAAACTTTCGTCTTTTTTCAATTCATCGATTGCATCAGATAAATTCTTGAATCTCTTTGACACCATGACGGCCCATGCACCTATAACAAGAACACAACAATCTAATTGTCCAATTCCGTAAATGCACATTAATATGATATTCAGATTACAGAATGCCAGTTCAAACTCAGAATTAGTTATCTCCTTTAAGGTAGGATACAGAAATAAGTCAATTGCAATAACAAATGGAAATATTGTAAAAAAGAAAAGTGTAAGTACAGCTATAAAAATTATTTGAATATCATCAGCTATTTTTTCTTCTTCTTCGTATCCGCTGTTGTTTCTAGGAATGTAAAGTCTCTTCCTTTTAAAAAAACTGAATTGAAAAGCTAGAAAAATACCAAATGTAACTAAAATAAATTTTAAGAGAATTTTATTATTAGGGAACATTCGGATCCATCCGACACAAACCAAATTGTCTGTTACTTCTTGAATACAAAGTATTATGTTAGTCCACATAAATATCTCTATAGCTGTTTGGTACAAAGGATATAACTTTGACAGATATTTCCATGTTTTGACAGGCTTCTTACAATCGCAATACATTATTTTAATTCCAAATATTTCTAACGACGAGAGGACTGGTCGTAGAAAGCAAACAATGCACAAACATCGTTTCGTGTCGGTTGAATACATGTTTTATCCACCGAATGACCTAATGTAAATGCGAAACATGTTAGATCAGGATGTAATTTCTATTCCACGATTATAATGATACATGTTTCGTTACGTAAAGTAAATTCAGCTTCTCTTATAAAAGAAGAGATTTTTGAATATGACGCAAACGATCGATTTGAGTTGTGTATTGTCATCACGTGATGTAAGTGCATTGGTGGCCTTCACTAGTAAATATTTTATGTTACTGCATTAAAGAATCTTATTTCGTGTCTAAGATATTAAGATTGTAAAAATAATAATAATAATTGTCTCATTTAGTATTTTGCGTTTAAAAAGTTTATACGGTTGGATAAATTAAAGGAAAATAATTTAATATTTTAATAATTCAGTTTAGTTTATTAGAAATTTTATCTTTTTCGGACATATTTAATTTATTATATAATAAGACTTTAATCAAAATATTCGTCTTTATAATTAATTTAATTTATTTATAGCACAATTCATCACAAAGTGATTTCGCCATGTTTTAAGTAAATATTTGTTTTAATGTCGCATTTCTGAACCAAATGTAGATTTTCTTAAAGAAAATTTGCATTTGGTTTATTTTAGGCCCTATAAGAGAAAAGAGAAAATATTTATGATTCGATATTACGTAAACGATGGACTACATTTTTCTATTGTCGTCACGTGAGAGAAAATGCATCGGTGGCCTTCAATAGCAAAAGAGTAAATCTATAAGATCAATATCTTAAAAGCATCTAACTTCAATTTCATTATTTAATTATTATAATCTAAAATTTTAAAATATTTTTTATTTAAAATCTTTCCGTTTACAACATAGTCCATTTAAGTGAAATTTCGTAAAAATTTCATAAATTAAATAATTTAATATTTGAAATTAAGTTTTGTTAAAAATTTTATATATTTTTTAGAAACACTTATTTGACTTATGTAATAAGACTTTAGTCAAAAGTTCCTTCTTTATAATTAATTTTAACGGATTTATAACACTCCAGTATGGACTGATTTAGTGATGTCTAGTTTTAATTAAATGTTCGTCTGATTACCGTATTTTCGATAGAGATTGAATCTGCGTTTTACAAACATTAATAATGGATACATGCATAACTTTTTTAAAATAAATTAATTTTCATCTGTGTGAATTGCTTTTTCTTTTCAATTCTTTCTTTCAAATAGTTTTTTCAAGCTCATCATTATTTACATCACGGCTTTTGATGGAATGCTAAAGGATAATTTCTCACTGTCAACCACGAAATTCTCTAAGAATTTAATCCAAATAAAAAACCAATTTCTCCTCACAATGCAGCAAGTGTTCTTCAGAAAATGTTTTCAATTGCCTTTTTAATATTTTTTGATGTAAAATTGTCAGTAATAGAAAACGTTTTAATAGAATAATGTTCTTTAATTAAAATGTATTCCAATTAAAAAATCAAGCAATTAAATTAATAAGACGTAAGGCCTTATTAATTATGTACGTTTTCTTCAATGGACTATAAGAATCTTTATTCGGTTTTCAATGCCGGAATAATTTAGGAGATGGATATTGTCTGAGACTTGGACTGAGGATAAGGCACTTCGCCTTTCGTAGTTCTGTGCTCAAGACTATTTGGAATGAAGCTGTTATCGCCTTTATATAGATTCAGATCAGTGGAATGCAAAATTTAAAAGTGATCAATGTTGTGCTGAATTCAATTAAAATTAATTATAAATTCGGGCACTTTCATAAAAGTTTTATTATATAATAAGATAAGTGTTTCATGAAGAGAATGTAAAATTTGGAGTAATCAAAAATCGTAAGGTCGTAAATTTTGGGAAACAAAAAAGAAGACTGGAAAGCAACCGACAGTAGCTATTTGTAAGTATTATAAAGGTAAGTGTATAATGTGCGTGCCACTAAAACTCAAAAAGGTAGCCCTCTATTCCCCATCCATGAAGAAGGTTCCCGTTTTTACCTGAAGGGCGTGCTGTTGAAAATATAAGGGCTGGAAGTTTTGCCCTCTACAAATTTCTAACAGTCCAGAACATTCGAGAGTATTCGAGAGCATTCCACAACATTCCGGAATGTTCCGGAACGTTCGGAAACATCCCGGAACATCCCAGATCATTGTGAAACATTGTAGAACACTCTCGAATGTTGTGGAATGTTCTGGAACATTGTGGACCATTCGAAGCCTTTTTTGTATGGGTGGGACTAGTCATTGGTGGGGGTATATAAAGCAAGATCCGTCGTGGGTTCGAATGTAAGTTTCTTATCAGTGACGAAGGGAAGACCCGAAAAATAAGTGAAAATTCCAAAGTAGTGCAGTGAATGAATAAAAACAAACAGTTAAGTGTTTGTAGTCAAACTGATACAGTGACTGAATACAAATAGAAAATAAAGCGTGAAAACTGTGTAAAGTGTACTTAGTGTATTTGTTAATAAAAAGTTGATTTGATATATATTTTATACAATGCCCAAACTAAAAAGAGGAGGAGTTCTTGCCAGTTCTGAATTTTCTTTTGAATATTAAAGTTGATATCTTCGACAATATTATTTTTAGTTGCCAAAATTGCCCTTTGAAATAGCCACTACAAATTGGTATAGTTGTGAATAATGTTTGGATAAATTTGGTCGGTGAGTTCGTTTTCAGGAGTGGTTATGTTGCAAAAATCACTGTTGAGTTCAATGAGGCCGGTCGTCTGGTCAGTGGGATATGTGCCTTCACTTATTTGTAAAAGTTTTTGAGCAAAACGTTTATAAACTAGTATTGTAAATAGTTAGAATATGTTTTCAATAAAATTTTTTACCTATTATATTTTAATATATATATATANAATGCAAAAATTAATGAGGCGGAGTGAGGTAAAATTTAAAATATATATGTATTTAAATTAAATTACAAAATTATATATATATATAATTTTTTTTTAAAATAATGATTACTCACTTAGTAATATTTCCGAAAATGTTTTATCTGGAAAATGTTTACTAATGCGATCGAATGATTTTTGTATATTTTCCCAATTAAGTTCTTGTTTGAACATTTTCACTGGGATATATTAAATATCATTGTCATGTACCGTCCAATCTTCTAAATAATCTAAGCAGTTACTAAAGAACTTTTTGACGTAGTTCATGAAATTTGCGCGATTTATTGCACCTTGTTTTTCTAACTGACCTAAACAATTACGGATGGTTAACGGAAGAAAATTATTTTCTAAACGCTTTTGACACTGAAATTTTAACTACTTGTTAAGTAAAAATAAGTTAAAACCGGTTACTTTGAACTTGATTATGTGTAGTTTTGGGAAAGAAGTGGAAAAACAAATTTTTATGACAACCGATACATAAATCGTAAATTTAAGGAATATAAATTCTAGAGGTTTTTTTTTTGTAACTTGTGCGTCTCATTCAATAAATTTAGTTGTAAATGAAGCTGTCAAAGTAACAGTGAATTTTTTAACATTGTACAAGAATTGTACACGTCTTTTCTACATTACCTTATTATCTTATAGATGGGACATACCAAATCGTAATATCACTAGTTTAACATTTACATCCTTAAGTAATACAAGATGGGAGAGCAGAATAAATATATCAAATATTTTAATAGATTTTTTAAAACTCTTGTCAAGTATACAGAATTATCTTAAAAACATACCAACCAACAGGAGTTTACTGGTAAGTTATAAATCTACTCGCGATTCACATAATGGGTCGAGGGCGGCCAAAGCGTTTTGGTGTTTAGGTTCCACCAGCTAAACCGGGTGAAGTTGGTGCTCTGTAAAGCGCATGCACAAATGCCTATAACTGGCTGCTTTACACTGTTCAAATATTTTCGCCCTGGAAGCTGTCCCGTATTCGACAATATAGAGCTTCCGTTGATAATATGCGTATACAAATTTTTATTCAAATATACAATAGCAATCTTATCGTTTTTCTTACATGTTGTATGGAAATTTGTAATAAGATACATAACGCGTTTATAATAAAATATTAATTTTAATTAATCCAAAATTCGTTAATTAAAATATGAAAATAATAGCGCAATATGTATTTATTTTTTAGAAAATACAAGGGAAGCTTCCACCGCTTCCAATGACGGCACGCCACAGCAGAAAATAGTAAGTTAGAGTCCACATATGATATCTCTATAGCAGTTTGGTACGAAAAATATAACTTCGACAGGTATTTCCAGTTTTCGGCAGACTTCTTACAATTGCAGTAAACAATTTTAACTCCAAATATCTGTAATGACGTGAAGACTGGTCGTAGAAAACACAAAATGCACAAACTGCGCTTCCAGTAACCTAAATACATTTTTTATTTTTAGCTACAGAAAGACGAAATGTAAATACTAAGAATTTTAGATCTGATCAGTTTTGCGGACCTATTAAACATATTTCTGTAAAGTAACCAAATGCGGGTTTTCTTCAAATAGAAAACAATTTTTACTACGATATTACGCAAACACTTAATTTGCCTTATTGCATTCAGGTTTTTCTATTCGCCGATGCAATTTCATCTTTTTGTTAGTGAATGTATTATTCTGATGCTTTAAAATCATGTTTATTTACTTTTTAAGATTTAAATATTCTGATATAAGTAAGTATTCTAATTATTGTTTATCTGCTGGAACCTTGGGTAATTTAAAAGAAAATCAGATGCTTTTAAGAGATTGTTATTGTGCATTTCCTATTTTACTATTGATAGCCACAAATGAGGTTTGGACACGTAACTGCGATACAAACAGAAATCAATCGTTTGTATAATATCCTATTCGAAAATATTTTATCTTTTAAGAAATTCTGAATTTGTTTATTTTAGGGCTGCGGATATTTACAATGAATTAGTGAATTAACAGTTAAATATTTTAATTGAAATGAAGTTAATTTATAAACTTTGCAATTTTTACATATTAAATTTGATTGCTCAAACTACCACTCTGTGGCCATACCCAGCGCACGCAAACATATTTGTTAATCACTCATAACATTTTTTTAAAACTCTTTCTGCCCTGTGGTCACTGAGGGGCCTCTTTTAGTAAGACCATTATCGGTTCGGTCTAGTCGACAATAAAGTGGCTAAGTTGTCACTTTATTGCCCAAACGATTGCCCATAATTTATAACTTTAAACACTACATACAGTTTATATATAAAATATGTATATACTTACATATATAGGTGTAAGTGTGTGCTCACATATATATGTATCAATTAACCCGTAAGTAGACTAAAATTTTTAGTAGGCCCTATACAATAACAAGAAATTAATAATTATTATCACATCAGAACATATTAATAAAAGGTGATAATAACATAAAATAAAAAACTAAACTTAGATATATTTTATAAATTTACTGGCGCATAAATTTATTGTCGAATGGAAATCGTAACTTTTTACAAAATAGTCGACAGTCAAATCTTGAAGTTTCTAAGAAATATTTGCTTTGATTTTTTTCAGATTCCAAATTTTTCTGATAAATCGACAATCGATTTCCTTTTTCTAACACAAAAATACCTCGTTTCCTTGTAGTAAGTCTGCTGTTATTCAAACATTCAAGTCAGGGCTGTGGTGCAATTTAATTCAATAGCTTTATTGAATCAAATCTCTAATTTCAACTTTACAAGAAGATGGTTTCTTTGCAACTAAAAGTTCTGTCAAAACAGACAGCGATGAATATATGGCACTCAGAACCTGTAAAACAATATTTACAAAATTATTATATATACCTAAAAAGAATTACCTATTTACTACTACAACTGCAATATAATAGATTTGTAAACTATACACGCACTTATAATAGATGTTTTTACAAGTTAATATAGTAAAACAGAATATATTGAACGAACTTACTCGAATGAAGAAGTTTTTTTTCACATAGAAAAATCCACCGATGCTTATTCCAAATGGAGTATTACCGTATCTTTTCATAAAATTCAACATCTTTTAAAGGAAAAAAGTTTAATAATATTAATAAATTTTTAGACCGATAAAAATGAATTGAAATACATTTGTATTACCTTCATTTTGGTCTCTAGCGGTAAATCAGCAGAACACAATTTATCGATTTCGATGAATTTCCGGTACAGCTTGAAAAGTTAAAATAATCATCATAAGCATAAATTAGACTATTAAATTAAATTAAATATAATTGTTATTATTGATATTATAATAAATTTATTTTAATAATATTTGATTCCCTTTTCAACAGCGTGCTCTCAGATAAGCTTGACTAGTCTTATTTTAAGATAGCATTTGGGACATTATGCTAAAGATAGCCTGTTGGATAAGCTGAAAACGTTAGTTTAACATTAAATAAATTATCTCAGCATCATAATGTGTATTTTTGCTGGTCTATTAATTATTTTCTGAGTAAGTTTTGTTAATAGCTCTAGATTACGATTTCCCTGATACTAAAAGAGATTTGTATACCACAGTCTTCAGTTGTGATAAATTGTTAAATTTGTATGGACCTATTGGAAAAACTTACGTATAAAACATGTAGTTAAGCATTTTTTTTATTACAGAAAATTATGTCATTTTTAATTAATTGTTGGAAACATCTTTTGTTTTCAGTCGTTTATCACGTTAACCCACTAATAAATTAGAATTACTTATTCATTGTTCATAAATAGATTATGAATACCATTAAAATTTCATTTTAATTCATGAAAGAATAAATTTTATTCTACAAAAGGTTTCTAAAAAGATTTACTTAATAACATACGATAGATTTAAATTCTACTTACCAAAGATGTGAAACGAGATAGTTGAAAAGATACTACCATTGCTACGACAACCAGAGTTATCAAAATAAAAGAAAATACAAGACGCATTACACCATCAAGTTCAAAGAAAACAACTGCGCAGAAAAAGAAACTTGTCTGATACACTCCGCAACAATATACGGCTGGAAGATATGCTTCACAAACAAGGTTTACTTCTTGTAAATAAGTCCATAAATCCCAATGAGTTTCAATCAAGGTTTCGATTTTATTTTTTAGAAAACTTTCGTTTTTTGTCAATTCATCGACTGCATCAGACAGATAATTGAATCTATTTGACACCATGATGGCCAATGCACCTATAGCGAGAACACAACAATCTAATTGTCCAATTCCGTAAATGCATGCTAATGTGATATTCAGATTACAGAATGCGAGTTCAAACTCGGAATTAGTTATTATCTTTAAAGCAGGATACAGAAATAAGTCAATTGCAGTAACAAACGGAATTATTGAAAAAAATAAAAGTGTAAGTACAGCTATAAAAACTATTTGAATATCATTAGCCATTTTTTCCTCTCCTTCGTACCCACTGTTATTTCTATGAATGTAAAGCCTCTTCCTTTTAAAGAAACTAAATTGAAATGCTAAAAAAATATAAAATGTAATTAAAATAAATTTTATGAGTATCTTATTGTTCGGGAACATTCGGATCCATCCGACACACACCAGATTGTCTGTTACTTCTTGAGCAGTAAGTATTATGTTAGTCCACATAAATATTTCTATAGCAGTTTGGTACAAAGGATATAACTTTGACAGATATTTCCATGTTTTGGCAGACTTCTTACAATCACAGTAAATTATTTTAATCCCAAATATTTCTAATGACGAGAGGACTGGTCGTAGAAAGCAAACAATGCACAAACTACGTTTCTTGTCATCTGAATACATCTTTTACTCTTACCAATCGAATGACTCAATGTAAATGCGAAGAATGTTAGATCAGGATGCAGTTTCTATTCCACGATTATAATGCAAAATAATTCGTTACATAAGTAAATTTAGCTTCTTTTATAAAATAAGATATTCCTGAATATGACGCACACGATGGATTTTAGTATTGTATTGTCATCACATGACGTAAGTGCATCGGTTGCCTTCACTAGTAAATGTATAGTATTATGTTACTGCATTAAAGAATCTTATTTCGTGTCTTGGATCCCAATATTGTAAAAAAAAGTTATCGTAGTTTGTCTGATTTAGTATTTTGCGTTTATAAATTTTTATATGGTGGAATAAATTAAAGAAAAATAATTTAATCTATACTAATATAATAAAGAGGTGATGTTTGTATGTATGTTAGTTTGTATGCAGCAGGTAATCTCCAGAACTACTCATCCGATTTCAAAAATTTTTTCACCAATNTGGGCTGCAATTTGAACCCATTGTATATCTATAAATGCCCTTTGTCGTACACCTGTCTAGCTTTCCTTAATCCTGAGAACGCAGTTAGGTATATGAAAGTCGAGACCAGATATGAAAAGATTACGAGTTGATTGCATCGGAATCAACTCCTAATCTTTCGATACAGGGCGGAAGTCACCTTATTTCCATTCAAAACATTTTCCCTGAAATTTCAGGAGTTAAATAGATGACAGGCACGACTCTATTGCTGACAGGAAAAGTATGATACACGGGGGCGAGACACTACAGGAGTAATTTGAGGTGGAAAGCATTTCTTTTAAATTAAATTAATAAAAATGTGATTAAAATTTTCTGTCCGGAATTCTGACCATATCACAATAAATAATTGCTAGTTATTTTTTTAATTGCAACTTTAAGAATTTTGAAAACAAATGGCTTATAAATAAATAATATGGCTTTTTTCGTTTCTAGGCGGTTGATTTAAATATTTCGTTCGCAAGAACTTACGATATTTCACACGAACAAAACTTACAGCTTTTTGGTGTTTTTGCTTAACACGACAAACACATAAATTTTATTAAAATCACGAAACATCATCATAATAAAACTTTAATCAAAATTTTCGTCATTATAATTAACGCTTAACTGGTTTTATCGGGGCCGCGCGGCCCCCACGCGCAATATCTTTACGAATTTCTAAAAATCTAAGCACTGTGCGCAGCTGCCATTTTATGTAATCTCATTCCGTCATCCTTCGCTTGAGGTGCCAAACGTTCGGCGTTTTAGCACTTACCGGGCTGCGCGGCTCCCACGATACCAGTTATGTTGGTTTTTTTATGAATATGTGTTTTATGATTTTTTTTTATTTTTACAATTATTTCGCAAAGATATCGCACATTTGCATCAAAAATTCAAAATGACTACCAAAGCATCATTTGAACTGTTAATAGATAATAATATTATACAAAATTGCTAGATCTCCTAAAATACTTTGCAAAAACTCCTAAAATAAGTATGTTGTCATTTTGTGCTAAAAAATGGAAAATATACTACTAAGTTCAACAGTTGTTTAAATTTGTTTGTAAAGTGCATAGTACCGCAAAAATACTATGTGATAACTGTCAAGACTGAATTACGTATTTCGTTAAAATTTTCTGAGTCTTAAAAGTAAAGTAATTATATTACCTGTGGTTTTTTAACAAATGATAGTTACTATAAGACTATAAGAGTTACTATTTTGAAAGACTAGTTTCTCAAGAATAAGAAAAAATAAATATTTTTGTTAAAACCTTACAATAGGGTAAACTTTTGTATTTTTGAAAAAAGCAAACACCAAAAGTTGTAACAATTTTGTGATATCTTGTAATAATTAAGTTAAAAAAAATATATGAATATATAGGTTTTTATTATACTAAACAAGAGCATTTATGCACTTTCAAACTGTCATATAGCATTTATGCACTTTCAAACTGTCATATAGCATTTATGCACTTTCAAACTGTCACGTTGTTTAAACTTGCTCTCTAGAGGCAAATTTCTAGAGGCAAAGAAGAGGAAGACGTTCCTGATGTCGAGCAGCTATCCTCTGCACTCTCTCCTCCAGAGGTATTCCATTTCTTTAAGGCTTTGAAATTATCCATGCTGCAAGCAAAAACAACGAGTATTAAATATTGTAGAACGAGCGTTAAATTAAGAGAATATTAAAAAATGAAATGAAAGTTTCATAATATAAATACAACCGAAAAATTATCGTTATAAGTAAAAGAAAAATTCTAATCACAAATGAATATAAAGTTGTAATGGAACAATAAACTTTGCCGAAAACATAAATTATTCATTCAATTATTCTGTATTAAATATAATAATATCAGTACTATGGTTTATAAAAGTTATGCTATTCTGTTGATTGTCATTAAAACTAATGAAAATATTCTAGAAGAAATTAATGACGAATAAACTCATTTATTCTAATTCATTAAAGGTTAGATTAATTATAATAATCTCATATGGGATGCAATGTGTACGCATATGTAATATACACACACAAAATTATATTGGGAAACGACAGAATTTATGATTCGAGTTTGCTTTAACAATTCGATTCGGTTGACGAAAATTAACAATGAAAAGATTGAATGCACTTCCTTAAAGTAAGTCAAAGGCTCGATTTTTCTCTTCGACAACAATTGTTATCGAAATATTCGTTGTGGGAAAATTATCGCTTCTAATCGTGATTTTCCGCTTAACAATGTTAAAAACACCTAAATCTATAACAATCAGGGACTAAACTTACCCAAAATTATCGCTTCAACTACAGCAAAACGCAGAAAACACTCAAAACAATTCACTAAATCGCATTCCAACAAAGCAAAAGGCAATTTTTGAAATTCTATTGTTGCATCACGACTCAGTTTGATTTTAAAAATTTCGATTATTTGACAGAATTTCGTCTGTCTTTCTATAGAAACGCACCTTTCTGCTTTTTGTCTGTAGTTTTTCACTCATGCCCACAGAGACCAGGTGTAATCCATTTTGTTAGAGTTAGGATGTTTGAAGACGCTCATAAACTAAGTCGACTTGAGTAAGATTCGACTTAAATTGAGCAATGCTTAAATCTTCTGAAACTGTTGTTTTTATATTGTTGTTGGGCTGCAATTTAAACCCATTGTATATCTATAAATGCCCTTTGTCGTACACCTGTCTAGCTTTCCTTAATCCTGAGAACGCAGTTAGGTATATGAAAGTCGAGACCAGATATGAAAAGATTACGAGTTGATTGCATCGGAATCAACTCCTAATCTTTCGATACAGGGCGGAAGTCACCTTATTTCCATTCAAAACATTTTCCCTGAAATTTCAGGAGTTAAATAGATGACAGGCACGACTCTATTGCTGACAGGAAAAGTATGATACACGGGGGCGAGACACTACAGGAGTAATTTGAGGTGGAAAGCATTTCTTTTAAATTAAATTAATAAAAATGTGATTAAAATTTTCTGTCCGGAATTCTGACCATATCACAATAAATAATTGCTAGTTATTTTTTTAATTGCAACTTTAAGAATTTTGAAAACAAATGGCTTATAAATAAATAATATGGCTTTTTTCGTTTCTAGGCGGTTGATTTAAATATTTCGTTCGCAAGAACTTACGATATTTCACACGAACAAAACTTACAGGTTTTTGGTGTTTTTGCTTAACACGACAAACACATAAATTTTATTAAAATCACGAAACATCATCAGCATTAAAATCTAGTAAATTTCCAAGATAAACATTGCCGCGATTTAAACAATTATTTTGATTTAATAACAATACGTAATAGAGAGTTAAATTGTCTTCACATGTCGCCATGCCCAATCGCCAGGAACAACTATACATTAAATTGTAAATTCGTCAGCCCTTTCTTTCAAAAGACTTATTTCATTTGTACATGAAAAAAGGTAAAGTATAAAACGTTTATACTATTCTGCCAGCGATTACAACTATTAGATATTTATTGGTCAAAAGTACTTAGCGATTACACAATAAATATCACATTGAACATTTTTGATTGAGTGCAATACGGTTGGAAATACACGCACTATATGGTATCCTGCGGCGGACATTTCTATACGTTCTAAGGCGTCATAATCACATAGAACACGAACTTCGACGACAGAAAAAACAAAAGGTCTCACCGAGGGTCGAACTCGGATCGCTGGACTCAAAGTCCAGAGTGCTTACCGTTACACCATGAGACCTCCGGATGAGCTGCTTCTCGAAAGCCCATTTATAAGGCAATCAGCATGCCAACGTCCATTACTTGGTTCGTTCGCCACATTCAACGGAAATTTGAGTGTCGCAAAAGAGTGTCCTCAGTCGTATATCGCGCAAACATATCGGAATATATCGCATATATATATCGCAAATATCGGAACATTCTTGCCTTTCTTCACGTTAACTAATTTGATGAGTATCGTTTAACGATTCGGCTGAAATTCATTAATTATTTTCGATTGCATGCTGTCTTTCGTTGTGGAAATCGCGACGCCCGCCAACTGACAGTTGCATGGTACGATTTCGTGCAATTCAACTGTCAGTTGGTGTCAGTATCATGCCTCTGTTGTGCGAGCGGCGTGATCGCTTTTGATAATAACACG